GGGCTCATGCTGCTGGAACTCCTTCTCCAGGATGGCCTTGAGCTGCTCGATGCAAGTGTTGATGCGATCTCTGCGCATTTTCTCCACAACGGGTTTTCTTAACTAAGGAAAAGAAGACAGAAAGATAAGTTCATGTTTCCAATAATAAACAATCAAAATGTTGAATGTATACATGAGTTTTAAAAAAGCATTTCAATCCAATCCAGTTCTCACTTTAATGTTGTCTTTCTCAGAGATCCTAATCTGATGAATAGAGGAGTAGTTGGTGGAGCAGGGAGCCATGTCTGTGCAGGTGAAGGTAGCTGCTTCTTCTGGAGTGCAGTGTGATCTGAGATCTCTTCAGGAGCCACTCTTCATTTTATAGGGACCTATTAGCATAACAAGGCCACGTGACTCCGGCAGGGCTGGGGTTTGTAACAATGGGACACACATCAATAACTCCGAGGTGAAGCAATCACAGGCTGACCAGTAGAGATAAAACCATTCCCAGGACATATATCAGACTGGGAATGATGTGCTGTCAGTTTCTGTTGCTTATCTCACACTCCAGTTACACACGGGAACACGGCAGTATCTCCTGATGTGCTCCCAGGGAATAATTAAACAGGATTTAATGCATTGGATCAACAGGGGAATAGGGTATTGAAAGTAAGTATGTTATTGATTTAAATTATAGTGTGCATGAGATATTTCTTCAAACTGTATTAGAAATTATGCTCCATTCAACAAAGACAATTTTACATTAACTCAAAATAATATAGGGACTTTAATGACAAATGCAATTTTAATAAAAATAAACAACAAATTCCACACTGCCTCACCTGCATATTTTATTGAGACTAGATTTCCTGAAATTGGAGCACGGAAGTATTCTGGTACAAAGCAGCAGGTACATGGATTAACATGTGTTTATTCATTGTTATCTTTAGTTTTTATTGTGAGACATCTTGGATATTCATAGTTTTCTGAGCAAAAAACATTGTTTCTGTCCGACTAACTGACAAATAATTGCCGGACAGATGATTCAGTCTTCTCATCTCCAGATAATAAATTCCTCAAATATTTTGTGATGTTGAACACTTATCCGAGAGCTTGTTAAATAAAACTCCCAATATCTTCCCGCCAGCACATTGCTCTGGTCCTTGTGTGTTGACAGTAAAACTCCTGCTTGTTCACCCATGGCACACTTCTATTGTTGGCCGAGGGTATTAGCCATGAGTGGACAGAGAGACTGTGGGAAAACTGAGCTCGGACTCTACTCACACATCTACCGGTCAATGGGCTGACCTCCCAGCCACAAAAGGCCTTTTCATCTCTTCTCTCAAACAACAGCCAACAGCAGCACTGTGTGTGTGTGTGTGTGTGTGTGTGTGTGTGTGTGTGTGTGTGTGTGTGTGTGTGTGTGTGTGTGTGTGTGTGTGTGTGTGTGTGTGTGTGTGTGTGTGGTGTGTGTGTGTGTGTGTGTGTGTGTGTGTGTGTGTGTGTGTGTGTGTGTGTGTGTGTGTGTGTGTGTGTGTGTGTGTGTGTGTGTGTGTGATGCACATACACACACAAGCAAGACAGGCCTTTTGTGCATTTCATTGATGTGCGCTGTTACGTCATGCTGCCAAACTGAAACTTTTTTTATGTGAGCAGCTGCCACTTGTTGTCAGATCCCAGGAAATGCAATGATATCACTTGCACTTGTTTTGTCGACCAGAGCCAACATTTACAACTTTAAGAGATTCAAAGGTCACTATATCTAATGTAAATATCTAAAGAAAACGGATCATTGTATTTTCTCCAACACATAAACTTGATTTTCAGTTCTAAATATAGGAAACCTTTTGAGAATTATAAAATGGTCTCACACTATGTTTAACCTTTTAAAATAAAATTGACATTTCAACCATAAGTGTTATTATGTTAGTCCTACAGTACAGCCGCTGGGGGGCGCTATAGATCCCCTCCAACAGCACACTGAATATACTTGATCCTGGGTTTAAATTGGCTTGTCTGGTATACCACACAGTTTGAGTCCCAATATTTCAGCTAAACAACGAATTATGGGAACTTTAATGATTGATTAAATACTATATTTATTTGTGATTGATGTCCATTTTCCCTGTATGCCTTACTTCACATATGTGACGTTTTGAACAAATAATCTTGTGCTCCAGCAGCCAATCATAAATCGTGTGTTGCTACAAATTTCCTTTACATAAAACAATCCTTTTGATTGGTCTGAGATAGCTAGGATGAGTGAAGCAAAAATATGTAAAGGAAATATTTAGATTTTTCTCTATTAATAGTAGGCTACAAACAAACAAATGTTAACACCAAAAATAGTTGTTACGTGTTGCATTTCATTAATTGTTGCACTCGTAATCAAATAATTGTCATTATACACTTTATTTTGTAAAGGGTTAAAGGGTTTGGAGCAGCTGAGCATTAATATGATATGGAAAAAGGGGAGGGTGTGAATCAGTGGGATCTCTTATCTTCTGATCAGGGGGGAAAGCAAGTTTGAGCATGTCGTTGTTTCCCTGCAAGACACATCACCCCAAATTGCTCCTGTGGGGATTGCCCACAGTAGGCTACTGAATGTATTCAATTCGATAGGGATAAAAGCGTCTAACAAGTGACATGTAATGAAAAAGTCTATCCCATTTTGACCATGTCATCGGAGGTAGGCAGGGGTTATCGATGTATTTTAGAGTTGACGGTTAGCATATTTATAGCGCATAGCCTTAACAAGTTTATTTAAAAAAACATTCAAATGTATTCTTCAGAATTTAAGGTGGTTTGCTTTGTAATCTAACAACCCCCCCCCCAACATTCTGGTAACAGTTGTCATCCTTTATGAATAGCACCATAATAATTAGGGTTTTACAAATGTGAACAGACAGCTAAATAAATCCCTTATTTAGTTATTTTCTTTTCCCCAAAATACAGAACAATGTAGTAAAACATTTCTGCACTTACAATTAATGTTTTACATTTAGTTGTGAAATACATTTAAAACTGACACTTAACCTGTCATGTCCCACTTTTACTACCCAATATCCCTGCAACATACAACTCAACTACTTTTCATCAACTGAAATATGTACTTGCTTCATTATTTGTTCATGGTATACATTTGAATACAGTTCTGGAAATGTGCGTTTGTGTTCATTTGGGGCTTCAGGGCAATAATATAGATTTTGGGAAAGAAGTAGCCCATGAGGAAGGCCAGGACGCTGAAGAGTATGGCGAACACATGGGCGGCAGTGGTGAACGGGCCTCTGCTGATGAGGTAGAGGGTGAAGAAGCTCATCCAGGACATCATGTACACCATGAGGCTGAAGGTCACACTCTTGGCCTCGTTGTAGTTGGCTGGCAGGTCTTTGCCCATATAGCTGAAAGAGAAGCAGAGGGCGCTGAGCAGGGACACATAAGCGAGCTCATTGAGCGCACCAGGGGAGAGGGTGTTACTGCACTCCAACACAATGCTGTGCTCGTAGAAGTTCAGATCCTTTGAGGGTTTGGGGGGGTTAAGGGCCACACGGAGAACAGAAATTAGCAAGATGATGACAGACACCAGAAAAATTGTGTACTCTGGCCCGTTGTTTTTGGCCCATTTGTCATAGGCCGGCGGCAGCTTGGATGCAAATTTGAAAATGCACACAACCTGAATAGAGCGCACGGTGATGCAGGCCAGGCACACAGTGAAGCTGAAGACGAATAGAGGCTGCTTGAGGATGCAGGCCAGAGGAGACGGCTGGCCAAAATGGCACAAAGTGCTCATGGCACTGGCAGTCAGGGCTGCCAGCATCAGGAGGCAGGTGCGCCCTCCAGCAGACTTGGCAACAGGCGTGTTCAGGTTGAGCAGGAGGATTATTGCAGAACTGGAGGTCATGAGAAGACAGGTGGCCAGGAAAAACAGCAGGGCGATGGAGAGGGGGGCGTCCCAGGGCAGCAGCAGGACAGTCCTTTTCAGACACTGCTCGCTCTTTGGGGGTGCCCACTCCTCTGGGAGACATGGCTGGCATGTAGTGGTCTCTGAAGAAAAGAGACAGCAGAGAGTGTTTGTGAAAGAGAAGTATGAGCACTCAGCGCCATCTGCTGGCCAACCATACACACAACAGTTTACAAATACTGTTGTTGGAGAGGTCATTTGGTTCAACTATAACAATGTTTGTTTTTATGTTTTATTTAGACAATAATTAGATGAACTCTCCCCTGCTCTGTTAGTGTGGTCTTTGTCCTGACTGGTGTGCAATGCCTTCATCCAGCTATTTTGTGTTTAGTTTATGTAACAACCTCCTTCGGCTTAAATCTGGGTTTGGCAACTCTGGAAAAAACTAAGCTAGATTTTGAAAATGTCCACCCAGAAAAAGGTGCATCCTTTCAAGCCTCCTTTCAAGCCACTCCCCAAAAACACTTGAACACACACTGCCTGAATGACTACTGCTTTAGGGTCAGTCCAGAGAGCACATCTCAATTCACGGTGAGAAAACAATGGTGTTTTGTAAATGCATCCTACACAGGGTAAGGATCTCATCCAAATTCACATTTCCACCCCTACCCCCTTTTATCTTTGTATGAATATTTGTCTTATGAATTGGCTTTTTTGCGTGTCTATATGTTACCACTGGTATTGAGAAACGTAGCAGAGGGGCAGGCCTGGCAGTCGAAGCAGCATATGTGTTGCCCTGTCTGCAGCCTCTTGTGGCCAAACGGGCACGGTGGAGAGCAGATTGAAAGCGGCACCTGGACAGAAAAACAGGGTTTGACAAAGATAACACTTTAACTTTTCATTAAAATTGATAGAATTTACATTTTCAATATTATTAATATTTTAAATAAACATTGAGTTGGAAGCAAAAAATCCTGTTGAGGGAAATGTGTTCATATCTTGTCATGTCCATTTTATATTTTCATTAGCTAACTTTTTACTTATAGTTGCCCCATATTTGCTCTATTTTGATTTGAAAGGTGTTTAAGCCAAAAACACAAAGGCACTTCACTCTTGAAACAGTAATAGTTCGTACCGATCTCGAATCTCCCGTGCCATCCCAGTCAATCAGATCAGCATCAATTGTGAGCGTAATTGGATCTGGGCTGAAAGAGCCCAACTCTCTGAGCGACAACTCAGTGCCATTCCAAACCCAGAGCACAATGTCATATCCTGTGGGCGGGTCCCCGTTACTGTCGTAGTACACAGAGGTGTTGCCCAGATAGAAATGCACATCCTTTATCAACCAGAGCAGCTGAGGACGAGAGGAATAAGAAAACATGAGTTCCTATCAAGCAAAGTACAGAGAGGGATTTTCTTCTTTGCATAAAGACAAGGTAACATCTGCTCACCTCCCATGGATACACGTCCCTCATTTGGCACTCTCCAGAATCACAACCAAGTGCACGGTGCAGAGCATGAGCCACAGAGTAAACCGCCTTGTACACATTCAAGGAGGAAGTGATGTCATTTTTCTCGAGAATAAACTTATTCCTAGCGAGGCTGTACAGGTCTGTGCCCTGTAGACAGTCATTTGTAATGTTAGAGACTTCGTGTGTGTCACTCTGTTGCATTGCAGCCTCAACTACCTTTGTCTGAAACTCTTCAAAACCAGGCATGGCTGCATATTTGATGGACACGCCAAGCACAGTCCCAATAGTGTGGATCCCACGAATCCCTGATATGAGAGAAGAAGTTGACCAGTCCTCCGTCCCAATCCACACCTTACCTGTCACGTTCCGCTCAATGACAAACGGGAAGAAGTTTTTCAGTTTTGACTTGCTGGAGAAAACCACGGTGGTGGTGACCTTAGTCTTCAGTAGGTTATGCACCACATTCCTCATTGTCTGGACCGTGTCTTTACTGTACGCAGGGATAACTCCCTGGTAGGCAATGCAGATGCCGTATTTTGGTGCTTCCTCTGAGAGGCTCTGCATGCCCTCCAGACCATAGCTGTTGTCGCTGCCCAAGATAGCAACCCAGGTCCAGTTGAAACGGACCATAAGCTGGATCATAGCGGCCACCTGGTTCTTATCGCTGGGAATTGTGCGGAGAAAGGATGGATAGCGGAACTTGTTGCTTAGCATTTCATTTGAGGCTTCAAAGGATATCTAAAATGAAGCAAAAAGCATGTGAGAAACGTTTGTTGTTGTACCCGTAGCAATATCTGAAATTACACCAACTCAAGAAACTGGGATCAGTATGGCTAGGAAGTGGTTTGAATTGGCAAGATATTGAGAGAAATAACTTTTCCATTCAAACAATACCTGCATTAGATTCTTTTTGTACCCAAATCTCCCAAAAAGACTATGGTTTTACTTGCAGCCTCACTGCATGCGTTGCTTGGTAATGAAACCAGTGATTAGCAAAGTACTGCAGTAGCTACAACCTTAACAGTCTGTTGTGTGATGATGTCGAACCTTGTCAAAAATATACTTGAATTGAAATCTTTAGAAATATATTTTGTTTAAAATACAATTGGATGAGGAGGAGTGGTTTTGGTCAGATCAGTGCATTCCTCATATAAAGACCTTTACATTTAATTGGGGATATTCAATAATTCACGAGCCGTGTTTACATTTTTCCAGGTGAGAACTTACTTGAGGTATAAGATGGGCCCCCAGTAAAGAAGCAGGGCCGAAAGAATTGCTGCTGCTGTCAGGGCCAATCAAAGCCACTGCATGGCGACTGTTGTTGTAGTTTGTGTCTTCCTCAGTCTCAGAGGGGCTTTGATACTGCTGCTTCAGCAGGTCCAGAGAGGCCAGGATGCTGGCCTCTCTGGAGCAGATGTCATACATCTGGTAGCCCAGCTTCACTCCTGGTAAAAGAGGCTGGGGTCCGGAGCTGTTGTTGATTTCTTCCACAGCAAATCTCATTGCTTGCAAAAGATAATAGCCATGTTTGTTGGCTTTACCTCTAGAAAGGGTTACATGTAAGACATTAAAAGTCTAAACCTCAACCCTTATGAAGGTTGCATGTAAAAAAGCCATAACTTGTTAGGGGCAAAAGCCCAGGGCTCTCATGTTTCATGATCAAAGTACATTTTAAGGTGACAAATGATGATGAAACAAGTATGAAAAGTAAAAAGCAAACGTGTCATTTTTCATACTTCAGATGGTTATTAGTAAAGATTATTTGTATCATTTAAATATGTGTTCATTTGTAAAACAATTGTTCAAAGTGTCAATTAAGAGATTCCCTCTGATAATAGAGATGGCTGTTTGATGATGAAGTCTAATTAATGTGAAGCTGAATGTTGTTTGTTGGTTTCCTTTAAGAACATGATTTTGTTGTGATCATGTCAAAATGTGACATATCTATAATATCCTACTGTAAATGATCTGACTGCTTTTAAAACTAAATGTATAAACAAACCAAAAACACTAAAACTCCAGATTGTAAAGACAAACAACAATATTTGGATTGATTTATTAACCAAACCACCAGCGAGATACATTTGATCAATAGTGTAGTGTAAACTCACTCATTGCATGGTAACAAAGCAGGCAGACTATTGATCGGTCTTTTCAGGTTGTGGAGAGGAAAGAATCCAGCGAGGGTGAAGTTGCCCTGCAGCTGCATCCCGTGCCCATAAGAAAGGTAATCCAGTTCCCCTGCAGCAAAGCGCAGCAGCAGCCAACCCAAGGAGAGAAACACAGCAGCAGACAGGTCCATGCTTCAGCTCCACCTCACACACACTGTGCTGGGGAAGCTCTGGGGGTTTGAATAAGAGGGAGGGACGGGAGGATCACGTTTGCATCTTTCCGGTGAGTTTTGGTTGAGTAAAGACTTTTTGCATGTCAGATCTGTTTGTGTGACTGTAGAGTTTCCCTCCATTTAAAATGAAACTATCCAATACAATTATAATTCAAATCATTGATCTGTTGTTTATTTAGCTAATTTTCTTTTAGCCATTTTGCTCTTCTTTGCCGTGGTGTGCTGGGGGGAAACACCAACAAAAGGGACACTGACAGGCT